ACATTAATACGCAAATGACAAAACGAAAGTAAAAGCAGTAGCTCCTCGTGGACGACGACCACACACACATAAAGTAAAGTCCATGCCTGGTCCTCCGCTGTCTTCGTTCCGATCCTTTTACGCGCCCCGAAGCTGATCAGTGAGAAACTTGAAACCGGTGCGGGGCGCGGTGAGAAACTTGAAACCGGTGCGGCGCGCGCGCCCCCGAAGCTCATCCGTGAGAAACTGAAACCGGTGCGCAGGTGACTCGCGCTACTGGCCTCGCCCTGCTTGCCGCTTTGCCTATTTTGTGTTTTCTGTCACAGGAAAGGTAATGGCTGAGATTTTTGGTTCTGAAGTTCTTTTTTTTTTTTTTTGGAGGATTTGACTCGCGGGCCGCATCAAACTGTTTTGCGGGCCGGTTACGGCCCGGGGGCCGGACGTTCCCCACCCCTGCTTTAGCTAATGCATTAACAAATCTGAACTACTATAAATTGTTACCAAAATATGTTTAATTAGATCAAACTAGTCTCAGTGTGAAAGAGCAGGCCCTTCTACATAAGATTATAGTATAATATTATATATAAGATGATATAGTTTTGTTAATTATAGATTAACAGAGATGTTTGAATGAGATCTGTCTATCCCCGTACTGGAGTCAAAACTAAAGTAATGCAAATGTATTTCTTTTGCCTTTCTTTTTATTTCTTTTATTTTGTTTGCTTGTTTATTTAATAACTGTTTAAATGTCCCTCGTACAAACTCATTTGTTTACTCACGGTTCATTTCAAACGTCAGTATGGGATTTATATTAATGGAATGAATTGTTAATTGTTGTTACTTGCAAAATGTTAATAAAATTTTTTTAAATAAAAACCTTGTATACAAACTCAATTGTTCTACTGTAAAAAGTGATCAGTTGACTTAACTTAAGAAATTTGAAGGAACCCGTTGCCTTGAAATTATTAAGTAAATAAACTTAATGCTTAATTGAAACAATTGAGTTATGTGAACTATGTGATTACTTAATTTTAATTCACTTGCTTAATTTACAAGTATGTGAACATACTTAATAAGTTCACTACTTAATTATGAACACATTACTTAATTTTTTTGATTAAGCATGTTTTCTTTTTTACTTAATAATTTTAAGGCAACGGGTTTACTCAATTTTTTTAAGTTAAGTCAACTCACTTACAGTGCATTTACAGTGTTGTTCATTTCAAATGTCAGTATAGGATTTATGTTAATGAATGTTAATTGTTGTTACATGCAAAAATGTTAATAAAACATTATCCCCCTGGGGCCGGCAGCTTGACCAGTCCTTCAGAGGATCTTGGTCTCTAAAGTGTCCGACAGCTGTTGAGCAAAAGGTTGAACAGTCGCGAGGCCAGAAGCGCAGCAGCTGCAGATCTCGGATCAGCTACACCTTCATGTACCAGAATAGCCTGACCTATGTGTTCTGCTGCATCTGTGTGTGAATTAGACACTGCATTTGCATGTATTCTTTTAGCAGACGCTTTAAATGTAGTTCGTTTTCATGCGGTGAAACGAAGGTTAGGCTGGAGATGGACAGCAGAGTTTGCAGAGTTTTGCACGTCGTTTCCATTACAAATGATGTGATCAGCTGTAGTTAAACAGCCATGACTTTGAGAATGTCTCAGTGACATGAGCTAAAGCTGATGATG